CTGCCGTTGGTGAACGTTTTTTCATCTCTTTATATGGTGGCAATAAAGATGATGATTCTCTGGACAGTCTTAGATATAAACGATTCGCCAAGTCAGTGACAAAGAATACATTTAATTTGTCTTCACTTCCTCCAACACAAGACACAGCCCGCTTGCACAGCCTCCGAGTCTATCATCAGGTCCAGTCGTGGCTCGGGAATTACAACGACCCTCAAGACTGGGGCTGGAAAAAGTATGGACAAATATTGATGCCTATTCAAAGTTCAAAACCTCCAGCACCCCCTGAGCTTCTAAAGTTGATATTCTGCCGATGCAAAGGAAACTGTGGAGCAATGTGTGGATGTCGGAAGGCAGGCCTCAAATGTTCTGCAGTATGCCTGAATTGTTCTGGGGAGACATGCAGCAACATAATGGAGATATCAAAATTGATCGAGGAAAATGATTTTGAAGATGAACTGCCAACAATGACGCCACTTCATTCTCCATCCTTCCTCGACAATTCAATATCGGAAGCTCCACCAGATCCTGAGTCGCAGCCTGGCACATCAAAGAGACTGAGGACACAGTAGATTGGGAAATACATACTAGGGATACGACGTAAAAAAAACGCGCCACCAGACTCTACCCCGTAGGGGGTGGGGAAAAGAGTCAATAACTAATTAACAACATTGCAATATAAATCATTAAAATGTTTCTTATAAAAATAATGGAAAAATTAGAGAAAACTATGCCTAATCATTCATATTAATGTATGTATACTTACTAGTACTGAAGAATAGTGTAAGTTTCGCATCGCTGTAAAACCCTAATTAATAAATAAAATTTGAAAAAAGTTTGTAATGGAAATTATTCCTTGAAAACCCCTCTATCAAAATGCTCTGACGTAATTTTTTTGTAACATGACCAGAAAAGAAGTTATAACGACCAAAAAAAAATTTCTTCCCAAATTATATGTTTTTGTTAATAACTTTGCTATTTTTGGTTCTACGACTAAAAGTTATGGAACTAAATTTGTAGAGAATTTAATTTGCAACAAGAAATGTTCCTACAAATTTTCTCTGCGAGGAATAGTTTGGCCGATATAGTAAGTAGTAGTATAAAAACCATTCACAGCCCTATTTACAAGATGGCGGCCGACGCTCAAGGGTTGCGACCCCACAAACATGGATTTAATTTTACACTAACCCCCTCTTGACATCCCAAAAATAAAATTGCGTGCTCTGACTTTTGCACGCTAAGCCCAAAAAAATGTAACATTTCAATGGACTACAAGAAAATAAGCTGGGAAATGACCATTTCGCGACTTTTTGTTTCGGCAATTGAATTTACCACTATAGATGCTAAATATTATGTACAATAACATATTAGTTTCCACAATCATAAAAATGGGGGGAAGATTGTTTACAGGGTGGTTAATTGTATAATTTTTACGTAAATTCACGCTTATAACTTTTTTCTGTTCATTTCCACGAGAAAACAGTAGGGTACTTTTTTTTTCGTCTTCAAAAGACCTACAAAACTAGCTCTCGAGCGTAAAAAGTTTTGTCGAAACAAAAAGTCGCGCCCAACTCTATATTTCCTGAACTACTCAGGTTGTTTCCGGAAGCAAATAATACTCCTAGGTTTTTTATTTATATTTATTAAGACGGAATTGCATCCGAGCCAGTATGGGGAAAATAACTCAAACCCTGTTCTACACTGTAAAAAATATATTCAATTAAGTGAAATATTCCCTTTATAAGTATGAGTACAACTAAATTTTTATGACTTTCCAGTTTCCTTTACAGTTTTTAGGAAACAAATGTCATTCGATGCGGTAATTCGAAGTGTAATGTCCTTAATACAAAAACGAACTACAATAAAAAATAATAAAACGTAGGAAACGTCCTCATTTAAGTCAACAAAGGCACTAAAAACACCAAACATAAAATTATCCAATTCTAGCGATCCCTATCAAATCCTTATTGCGACGCCGCTGGACCACCGCGACAAACAAAGCGAGCTGCATAACCGTGTTTACGTCAACTCTAATATGAAGCCGACGTACAAAAGTCATATTTAAAAACACATACGAGACGTCGGGAACATGGAACAACTGCTGTGAAAGTTTTTAAATGTACCTACAAATGAATAAAAACGCCGCCTACGACGCCCGTGCCAACAGAACAGCCGCATTCTGTAAAATGTTTGCCCTAGAAACGATTTTGTATGTATACCGCGATTACTTCTCGGGGTTCCTACATTTTCAGTTTCAGTAGGTCTGGCTCGCTGAAACCTGAAACCATTGACGAGGCTATTATTCTCCAGTCGTTTCCGAATACAAAGCGATTCATAGTAATCTAATTTAGAAAGACTGTGATCTCTGATCGGGATTTGGAAAAGTGGCTGTCTACAGGGTGTCCCAAAAGTTGCAGACAACGTAAAATATAATACATGAAGAGAATAATAAGTAAAGACGTATCACGTTTTGCTTATGATACAATTAGAAGGAATCTATAATAATATAGTACATATTATATAAACTAATGTAAAAAATTAAAGGGTCAAAAGAATTTCCGAAATTTTTCCGTGATTTTTGACAGACTGCATTTAGGTGAAAGAAGGTCGTATAGGAAATTACAAAAAAGCATTTTGAAGCTCTAATATTCTAGTTCTTTGATCTTTCGGTCGAAATTTTTGAGAAGCTACGGTTATCATGCAATTCTAAGAAATAGCACGACAAAAAATTTTGCAAATTTTCTTTTTTTTTTTGAGTCCACGGACTTGGAAATTTTTTTTTCAATTTCTTTTTTTATTTTAGATATGACCATTTTTCATCGAAATATCGGACTTTTAATGGAAAAGGATTCTTTTGTCTTCAGTCATCGATATCTCGGCGACAAATGGTCGTACAGAAAATTGAAAGGCAATTTGGAAAACTGGAATAAATTTCCTATAACATGCTACCGCAACTTTTCGGAAATTTTTTTTTTTTTTTCATCTTTTACACGAATTTTAAAAAACAGGGAAAAAGGGTAATTTATGTTTTTTTTTTAAATTGACGGCTAAATTAGAAATATTCATGAAATAACTAATGTTAAGCATGACTTTTACAGTTCGATATTTCCAGAAGAACCCTGTGAAGTGTCGTCTCGATCTAACAAACCGTTTCTTTGTTTCAGTCAAACTTTTGAAAAAAACTAAAGTGTCACGTTTTTTAAGCTTAACACTTCATAATCATGATTAAAATGGAAAAAAAATTTTTTGAGGTTTTCTCACATTTTTACCGGAATTGACGTCTAACGATTTTTTTTTTCAGAGAAGAAAAAGGGTAGTTTTGAAAAGCTGAATCGTACTGAAAACAATTGGATTTTGTTTTCTTCAATGTCCGGAAAGTTTTCCAAAAAAAAAACAAAAAACAAAAAAAAACGAAAAATTTTTCGAATTTTTTTTTTATCAATTTAAACGTTATTTGCTGTAAAAATGTAAGAAAACCTAACCAAAAATCCATTTTAATCATGATTATGAAGTATTTAAGTTCACATTTTTATTGCAATTAACGTTTAATTTTTTTTAGAGAAGAAAAAGGGTAGTTTTGAAAAAAAAAATGTTTTTTAAGTGATTACAGACTGCACAAAAATTTATTAGAAATTTGTCTCAAAAAACGGTATGAATTGGGGTCGAAATCTGGTTTGAGTCATCAACTTTAATTTTAATTTAATTTTGTTTTCTTCAATATCCGGAAGGTTTTCCAAAAAAAAAACAAAAAAAATCGAAATATTTTTCGAATGTTTTCGAAAATTTTTCGATTTTTTTTTTCATCAATTTCAACGTTTCAACCCTTTTTTCCTGTTTTTTTAAAATTCCTATAAAGATGAAAAAACAATTTTTTTCTGAAAAGTTGCGGCAGCATGTTAGGAAATTTATTCCATTTTTCGAAATTGTCTTTCAATTCTCTGTACGACCATTTGTCGCCGAGATATCGATGATTGAAGACAAAAGAATCCTTTTCCATTAAAAGTCCGATATTTCGATGAAAAATGTCGTATCACAATTTAAAAGAAAGAAAATTGAAGTTGAATAAACAAGCTACCTGGTCCATGCTTAGCCTGGTCCTGGCTTAGCTGAAAAAAATTGTTCCAAGTCCGTGGACAAAATTTTTTTGTAGCGCTATTTTTTAAAATTACATGATAACCGTAGCTCCTAAAAAATTTCGACCGAAAGATATAAAAACTCGAATCTTAGAGCTTCAATAGCTTTAATACCCGATATGCCTATTTTTCACCTAAATACAGTCTGTCAAAATTCACGGAAAAATTTCGGAAATTCTTTTGCCCCTAATTTTTTGCATAAGTGCATTACAAGTGATTTTAGTACCTAGTAGATTTTAGTTACTAAAAAAACAACCTAAACACCTACAAAACTGGAACTGTTGGTCAAAGTATAAACATTTATTTCAATATGAAGTAGGTAACCGAGATACTTGTAATACCAGTATCATTGTCCCCTGTACGTGCTGCGGGCAATCGAACCTAATAATAAAACGATGTTCCATTCTTTTTTTCAACACAACTGAGATAAATAGATAAGATATCTTGCGCACAAAGCAAACAAAACAGTATGGTGACCACGAAAACATTCCCCTAATTAGCAATATCGTCAATGCAAATTCCAAGAGTCAAATTCAATAACCCTAATACAGGGTGATTCACATAAAATTTCCCCGCTTTGACATAAATACCATCTACAATTTGTTTTGGAAAATTCTTTTGAGATCTTATTTACGTTATCAAGGAGCTCTATCAACTGAGTTTTACAGAATTATATTTCCGTTATCAGGTTATCTGGCTGCGGAAATGTATGTCAATCGCCCTGTATGTTAACTGTTTTTTACCGAATTTTAGAAGATCTCTTTAATTGTTCTAATATCCTAATGTAATTATAATTTAAAAACGCAAATATTCGCAAGGAAACAAACTTATGGTTCATATTCGTTCCTTAAATCGATCGAAATCACTCACCTAATGTTTGATGGAAGATTTTGTCGAAGTTGACCTCGTTCTTCTTCTCCAGATACTTGTGCATCACACTCCGCACGCTGAAACAAAAAAAATCTTTACAAAAATGGCCAATCCAAAATTAAACGCAACATTACTAATTGGCCCACACTTGGCCAGTCTAATGTTATACACATGAATCACAAATGCGATCATGAAAGCATACGCCAAGGTAAAATCAACAAACAATGGGAACTGCTTTAATGAACTGCCTAATCATAATTCGCATTATTGTTTGAAATTTGTTTCTCTCTAACGGAATATAGGTACTTCTGTTTAGTTGGATTTTTAGACCAGGGTGGATCTGTCGAATATATCCCACTTCTTAGATATAAGAGGGGGCAAGCTACAACCCACATAATAAAAATGTAGATTCCTACATTTGGGCGAGGTCCGGAACATTTTCAAAATTGCAAAAATTTTAAAAATTACCTATTTTATCGGAGTTTTTTACTTATATCTTGGAACCTCTGCATTATGGAAGAATTTTGAAGAGGAGAAAAAGTTTTAGAATTGAATTTTGTACAATATAATGTAAGTTAAAAATGTTTAAATTTATTACCGATATTGCAAAATAGCAATAATTGATGAAAAAAGACAAAATAATCAAATTTCTTGGATATTGTTTTAAAAATATTTAATTCCTCCGGGGGCATTGGTAAAAAAACTTTAGAGTATAATAAAACAACACCAAATTTCATTAAAATCGGTTCTATAGTTTTCGCAAAATAATTTTTTGGAAAAAAATTTTTCGAATTTTCAAAATGTTACACAGCCTCAAATAAAGCATCTAGATACTTGAAAAATTTTTTACATGGAAAAGGCCGCTCAACCTTTCAAACGGTTTTTGAAAAATTGAAATGGTTGATTAGCATGGCCACAGTAAATTTTTAAAGTTAACACTCTTTTTTTTATTTTTAAACAATAAGATTACATCTATCAATTTGTAATTTAGTCTTTTAAAAAAGTATAATTTTAAAGTACTCGGTAAGACGCTTCTTTAAAAAAAAAAGTTAAATTCCGTTTATTGGTTCTCGAGATCAAAATTTATCGGCATTTACCGTTAATTTATAAACAATTTAGCAATAATCTTTGATACAGTGGCTTCATTTTTCCGAGTTCTAAGCTGGAAAATGTTCTCATATCCATAAGTTATCGGCAACATAGATAAATCAGCGGAAAAGCTGTCGCTCGTACACGCGAAAAGTGACTCAAGACACGAAAAGTGGGGCTTTCGCTCCGAGACTCAATTCGGAGGTTCAAAATGTGAAAGTACGAAAAAAAATTGCATTATCTCGGCTTCTCATGGACCAATTTCGATCTTATTTTTAATCCGATGTCTCACGAGCTAAGAAATTCGAATATCGTAATGCCAATTGTCTAATTTGCACATACATATTTTGTTATAAACAAAGTTTATTATTTATGCATTAAATATACTGTATATTTTACCCTATACTATTGCATTTTTTTCAATGAAAAATAAGTTAGTTATAATTATCACAATTATTTAAATAATATTTGTTCAAACAAATTAAAATAAAAGTATTTGGAAATTATTTTTTTTGTTAAATACAGATAAAATTAAGAAAAAATACTACTTTACAATTATAATTTTAAAAAAAAACTAAATTGCAAATTGATAAATGGAATCTAATTGTTTAAAAATAAAAAAAGAGTGTTAACTAATCAACCTATTTCAATTTTTCAAAAACCATTTCGACAGTTGCTTGTAAGAATTTAGAGCGCTATATTGGCGAAAAGATGCCATTTAGTTTCGATCTACCCAAACGCGCGGTATACATTAGTACGTACCCATGGTTACACGAATTCACCATCCAGTTCTTTTCTCATTGTTCAAGATACGAAAAAAAGAGTAAGAATAATAGTTGTAGGGATATTAAAATATTTTTTTTAATAAGAACAAATGAATACCGCTTCTCCGAGACATAGGCTCAACGTATGTTTTTTTAAGAACGCCCTGTATATTTTTACACAATTGGAAAGACTGCCAAATGCACTTTTCAAAAATATGTTACACTTGATACTTATGATATCCGAAATTTTACGGATTTTGAACAAATTGTACCTAGTAGCCATGGAAAAATATTGACTATCATACAAATTATGTTAATTTCTCATCTAACTAAATAAACCTCGTAACATATTTACGGAAGCAGTAAGTGACTAGCCGCTACTACTGGCCGATCTTGGCACTGCCAACTTAATAATACAATAAGTTATTTTGATAAGTTCCAATGAAACAAGATAAACAAAAAAATATTCTATGTTGACGCAGATAAAGAACAAGACATTTCCACAAACGAAAGTAAGCGCGACATAAAATGATCATTTCTATGTGTCAAGTAACAAATTCCCTTTGTACTACCCTTACAATTAGTCAACCGAAAACATCGCCCCCTGCTGCTCTGATTGAATCAACTCCAATTTAAGTACAACGAAAACGGGGAATACAAAGACGAAATTTCTAATAGCATCACAAATATTTGCCCGCCCCTTAGTCCGCCTCCACAGCATACAAGAGCCGCCGTGCGAACTTGAACGCATTTAATTCTGTTCAATTTTTCATACGCTAACACCCCAATTACTTCGTCTGTTTAAAGCGGGATTCCTTTACGTCGCGTCCGTTGTCATAAACTATGTTAATTAGGAGTTCCCTTTGATGTTCCTCAGAAGCAGATGTTCACATAAAAAAAATCGAAACTCCCAAAGGCGGTGTTCCCATTGGAAGCTTTCTTATACACATTGCTGATCTAAATTTCATTCTGTTTAGTTTATACAGATTAGTTCTATTTTCTTGTGTCTTAGCTTCCAATTCTACCTACAACGCTCCATATGCATGGGAGTCGTCGATATTAGTATAGATCATGGAACCGCGCAACAGATGCATGTCCTTGAAATACCTATTTGTTAGTTTAGTTTAATAAAAACCGTGTTAAAAATGCAGAACGGTGCTTAAAATTACCAATAATCAAAACTTTTGAGAACCTCTGGTAAATCGCTACATACACACAAAGCGGTAAGTATGAAAACATTGAACTGTACATCTTCAGGTAGGTATTTGCAAATAAGCATGCACCAACGCTTATAACCCCGAAGAAACTATCGGTGGACTCAGCGGTTCCAAAAATGTTTCTCCGTATTACTGTTATTTCATTTTCTATTCTATATTCTTCGATATCTAACAAACTTTATATTGCAAGGAAAATCCAAGGAAAATATAGCTGTTCTTTACAAGAAGACACATCTATAACTTGTGAAAATTATTCACAAACTTCGCCAGATGTTATGCGTTCCGAAAATGATGGCAACAATGCTACAAGGGTTATTAACGGAAAGGAAGTTAAATGTGATAAAACAAAGAACAAAATGTATATTACTATAAATGTAAATGTTAATGTTAATAAGTAAATAAATTAAATTGGATTTATTATAGGTTTATTATTTTTTTCATCATTCTACGAGTGAAATAAAGTGACTTTATTCCACTAGTGGATGAAGTATCACTTTACGGTTCACATATGTGGATAAAAGTCCGATTAATAAGGTGATTGCGGATAAAATGATTATATTGGTTTATTTTTAAAAAAAAAAACGATTCAATTCTTGCTTGCCATATAAAACAACGAATTGAATCACGTGATTTGCACAGTCATTAAAAAAAATAATGTATATATGTCACAAACCTGCAAAAGTTTGAAATGAATATGATCAGATACAGGCTAATAAAACAACGCAATTTAAACGAAATATATTTTTCAATTATTACTTTTTTCAAATCATACACACAAACATAGGCATTTATCGTCAGCGTTCATTACATTCAGTTAAATCTATAAATAGACGTAAATTGAAACTTTATTTATGTATCTACTTCGTTAGCAAATGTCATCAATCAATTCGTTAGTTGTGTGGGTAGGACGAAATTATTACAAAACAGTGAAAAAAGGGGGATGCGTGTTGTAGGTACGTTTAAATATCATTAAATGTAACATCAATCATCAACCAACACACTGGTTCTTGGATAACGGATACAATTTCACAGAAGGTGTCAAGAAGACGACCTATATTCCTCTTTTTACTTTAGCGGTGTATCCAGACATTAAGTTAGGAGTTTACGTAAGTTAGGGAGTTCAGAAAGAATTCAAAATGAAATCAGACGAGTTCTAGGGATATACACTCTTAATAATAATACAATTAAATTAAAGTCTTTAAAACTTTGATTTACTATTTCTAATTATAAATCCTAAAGCCTTCGAAATTGCTTTGACAAATAATCGATATGCTGTCAACATCTTAAGGCACTGCCAAAACTAACCCCCCAAATCCTTAACAAATCTATGACTATTGATAGACTAAGAACCGGATAGGGAAATTTTCCTATTCATTTTAGACACCGTAAGAGTCTATGACTTAAATGCTAGGTACAACCTAAAATAAAGCATTTGGGCACTATGCCGTCAATTCTCCGTGGCACATGGGTTGTCAGCGGAAAATCAAACTTTCCAAAAGGGCACAAATGCCGAACAGTAACTTTTCACTAAAATATCCACCCTTTGAGCGGAAAATTCATTTCCCTACTGTGACATCATGCGCCATAAAAAATGTATGGGATAATGACTTGAGGTATAGTTTTATATAGGAACTTCTAAATTTTTTAATTTTATGGCGCCTCTAATAATTTTCCTTATTCTACGTAAAAGGTAAGGGTTGAGCAAGGGTTAAAAGCTCTTAGAACCAGTGCATTCGTACGGCATAGTAAAATATAACTTTCAAATGAATATCTTTATTTAAAATCAGGAACGTCGTAGTTTTGTATAATTTTTACATTAGTGAAAATATTTAGAAAATGAAATTTTTTTATTCTTTCCAGAACCATTATTTTTGTACGGCATAAGGTTTTTATGTCTATTTTTGTAATATCTGTCTTGGGTCGAAATGCAGTCAATTTCTATTTAATTAATTTACCCGGTCCAAAATTGGAAAGTTTGATTTTCCGCTGACAACCCAGAATTGATGG